TGCCCAAAGAAAGCTACACATACATAAATGTAGAACACTTGTCAATAGTTGATGACCTAGATGCTTTTAATAGTTATCCTTGGGGAAGAAAGGCGTTTGCCCGCACAATTGATGTATTCACGAGAGACTGGAAATCGTTGGTGAAGTCATACTTGATAAATAATGAGAAATATCCATATTCAATTTATGGATTTCCACTCGCCTTGCAAGTAATGTAATTTATTATTCATTTTGTTTAGATTATAATATTTTGCATCTTATGTAGATTTGGGCTTATGAAGCCATACCATCTATTGGACGGAGATATGGTGAGAATCTACAGGAGGCTGACCTTCCCAGAATATGTCGATGGAATTCTTCTGAAATGCCTAACTACAAGGATATTGGTGCAAGTATGGACGAACCAAATGTAAGTAAATTTTAAATGTACATCAAAATATGTAGTGTACTTTATAACAACTAAGTGCGCCTCTCATTTTTCATATAGATTGTTAAATGTACATCAAAATATGTAGTGTACTTTATAACAACTAAGTGCGCCTCTCATTTTTCATATAGATTGTTGTTCATTGCACACTGAAGCCTACGTCGGAAGAGGCTTCCAAAGCATATTGGACAGAGATTCATCGATTCGAGGATGAAGTAGAGGATCCGACAGTTGATATCTTTGTGGATAAGGAGAATGTAGCAGATTCGTCCATTCGTGTTGATCTTCCTCAGCAAACTTGCCACTCTCCTAATGCATCTACATCTCCTCGGGAGCCATCTTCTTTTCATAGGCCACCTACGTCTACAGATGCTTATACATTTCATCCGGGACCATCTACATCATATCCATCTCTGTATCCATCGAGAGATGAGTTCGCTCAGGAATTGAGAATGCAATTACTACAGATGGTAGAGATTTTAGAGAGGAAAAATGAAGGGCGGATAGATGAGATGCGATCTTACATAGACCAAAGGTTTGATTGTGTTACATCCTTTTGTAGACAAATTGATTAGAAGATATCATCTGTTGTGGAGTGGATGAAGAATTCTAACCCGTCAACAACACCTTACACATATCACTCTCCTCTTCGTAGTGGATTTATGAATACTGGAGAACCATGTGATGTAAATGAGGATCCACTTGTACATGTAGAAGTTCAAAATGATGAGAACCAAGATGACAATGAGGAGAGAGAAGTGGAAGATTATGTGTTGGCGAATGAACCAGTTATTGTAAAAGAAGCAACGTTGCCCACATATGGCAATGAACAAAAACAAGCAGATGATATGAATAAATGTCCAAATCCCATTGAAGTGGAAAATGAGCAAAGGCAAGCAACAGATTTGCCGAATGATGATGAAACTCGTGTGGAAGAGAGAGATACCTGTGTACCAATGGATTCTATAGCACATGGTGATGTAATGGAGTCCATCCCTATAGTGGTGGAAGATGAGTCTGATAAGTCTAGTCAGATTGGGCACGGGATGAGAATCAAGAAAAGGTCACTTGTTCTTAAATCTCCGTTCACAAATCCGGAGAAGAGAAGGAAGCTTCGCAATGTAAATGCATTTGACCCATTTCGAGAGCTAGATCCGGCTAAGGCAGATGACTTACAGAATTGGTTGGTTAATGCACCTGACAGGTAACTATTCTTACATTAATTATTTTTGTGAAGTTGTAATTTATGTTCTTATGTTATTTGTTTTATGCAGTGGACATGTGGACATAATGATGTTCACGAAGCCAAAAAGTTTCTTTCTTGAAATTCAGAAGCAATTTGGATGGCTCGATAGTGATGTAAGTACTTTAGCATTCTATATTTTTCTCGTACTTCATTTCATTCTTAAACGGCTTTATACATCTACAACACATTGACATAGCGTTGTTGTTGATGAGGGCACGAATGCATACATATCCTACTGTGTTCCCACAAGATTGTGCAATTTTGGATTGTGCTTTTACTAACATGTGCACCAAGAGGTTTGAAGATTTTGAGCTGCATAAGAAAGAAAAAAATCCAGTAGAAGACTTTAAATGGATGAAAAATATGACAAGATATATATATGGTAAAAATCCAGAATGGAGCAAGCGATGGGATTCTTGTACATCGTTGTACATTCCCTGCAATGTAGAAATGAAGCACTGGATTGCACTTAAAGTGGACTTTGCCGAACGAACTATATATGTATATGATAGCATGAAGAGTTTGACTCGTTTTGGAAAATTGCAAAAAATCATGCATCCAATTGTGAAGGTGATTCCTAGAATGATGAAGGAAAGTTTGTTATTCGGGGAAAACTATCCACACAAGCAGTTTCTATGGCGTCGACATGCAGACGCTCCACAACAAAACAATGCGTAAATAATCTATCTTTAAAATTTTTTAGATTTTCACTTATTTTGAGAGTGCATATATTTATTATGACAAATATATATTCGCAGGGGAGATTGTGGGATGTACGTTATCAAGTTCATAGAGCTTTTATCGGCGGGATTAGACGTGAAACTTATATCCGATACTATGATTGACAGTTGGAGGAAGAAACTAGCCGCTGAAATTTTTGCTATGCATTTCGATCCATAATTGTTTTTTCAGTATATTTTGCACGTTTATGTGGTTGGAAGATTGAGAACTCTGATGCTATTTTTGTCTACATGGTAGTTTTGAAATGATGTAGTTGGAAAACATGTGCACGGATGCTGATTTTTGTCTAGTCAGTTTTGGATGTTCATCAATCTTCCTATGAAATTTATGGATGTTGATATTGTGTACTCAGATTTGGATGCTGATCAATTAGATTTGTCTAGTTTCTTTGGATGTTGATTTTTTGGATGTTGATCAATATTTTTTATAAATTATATTATTTTCATTATAGGATGTTTCATTCAAATATTGAAGCAGACATGGTTGAAAGGAAGATGCAGTTTGTCATAACTTTATCTATATGGTGTTGAAAAATAGACTATTATATGAAAAATGGCAGTTCTGCGTTTAAAACGACAACATGCCATTTGGGTCATAGGACTAAAGTGTTCTCCTAAAGTGCACCAAAATGTGCTATGATTTGTGTGCCCTAAATTCCAGTCATACTTGTAACAGGATCGCATGTACTGAATGAATACACGTGATTTTTTGTATACCGTATACCTTAAATGGCACCCATTAGAGTAAAACGTCAATATGTCGTTTTGGGTCAAGGAGTCTCGAATTCATTCCAAAACTAGTGAATTAGTGTTGAAATATCTTTAAAACACTGTACGTCGAAAAATTGTAGTATAGGTTTAAACCCTATACCCTGAGCCCCATACCCTAAACCCTAAACTACAACCATACGTTTGAAACGCCCAGCTGCCGTTTTGGGTCCGGAGGTACCGATTTCACTTCGAAAGTAACGCAACGATGTTTGGGACATGATACACGTTCGGGACACGTTGAACGTCTACACGTGCTACGATTTGCATATCACACTTTCCCCTTAGGTCGTTCTTCATTGTGAAGCGGAGTGTAGTGCAGTGTAGTCGGTGGGACTATAGACAAACTCACTATAGTTCGGACAAATGCGTCGATCGTAACGACGAAATGTAATTCGAACCTTCGTCGTTCAATTTTCAAGTGCTTACGAGCTTCATTGCACCAAATGGACACGAAATGAGTAGAAACGTCGCCCATACGTTTGAAACGTCCAGCTGCCGTTTTGGGTCCAGAGGTACCGATTTCACTCCGAAAGTAGCGGAACGATCTTTAGGACATGATACACGTCCGGGACACGTTGAACGTCTACATGTGCTATGATTTGCTTGTCACACTTTCCCCTTAGGTCGTTCTTCATTGTTAAGCGGAGTGTAGTGTAGTGTAGTCGGTGGGACTATAGACAAACTCACTATAGTTCGGACAAATGCGTCGATCGTAACGACGAAATGTAATTCGAACCTTCGTCGTTCAATTTTCAAGTGCTTACGAGCTTCATTGCACCAAATGGACACGAAATGAGTAGAAACGTCGCCCATACGTTTGAAACGCCCAGCTGCCGTTTTGGGTCCAGAGGTACCGATTTCACTTCGAAAGTAGCGCAACGATGTTTGGGACATGATACACGTTCGGGACACGTTGAACGTCTACACGTGCTACGATTTGCATATCACACTTTCCCCTTAGGTCGTTCCTCATTGTCAAGCGGAGTCTAGTGTAGTGTAGTCGGTGGGACTATAGACAAACTCACTTCTAGTGTAGTGTAGTCGGTGGGACTATAGACAAACTCACTATAGTTCGGACAAATGCGTCGATCGTAACGACGAAATGTAATTCGAACCTTCGTCGTTCAATTTTCAAGTGCTTACGAGCTTCATTGCACCAAATGGACACGAAATGAGTAGAAACGTCGCCCATACGTTTGAAACGCCTAGATGCCGTTTTGGGTCCAGAGGTACCGATTTCACTTCGAAAGTAGCGGAACGATGTTTAGGACATGATACACGTCAGGGACACGTTGAACGTCTACATGTGCTATGATTTGCTTGCCACACTTTTCCCTTAGGTCGTTCTTCATTGTTAAGCGGAGTGTAGTGTAGTGTAGTCGGTGGGACTATAGACAAACTCACTATAGTTCGGACAAATGCGTCGATCGTAACGACGAAATGTAATTCGAACCTTCGTCGTTCAATTTTCAAGTGCTTACGAGCTTCATTGCACCAAATGGACACGAAATGAGTAGAAACGTCGCCCATACGTTTGAAACGCCCAGCTGCCGTTTTGGGTCCGGAGGTACCGATTTCACTTCGAAAGTAGCGCAACGATGTTTGGGACATGATACACATTCGGGACACGTTGAACGTCTACACGTGCTACGATTTGCATATCACACTTTTCCCTTAGGTCGTTCCTCATTGTCAAGCGGAGTCTAGTGTAGTGTAGTCGGTGGGACTATAGACAAACTCACTATAGTTCGGACAAATGCATCGATCGTAACGACGAAATGTAATTCGAACCTTCGTCCTTCAATTTTCAAGTGCTTACGAGCGTCATTGCACCAAATAGACACGAAATGAGTAGAAACGTCGCCCATAAGTTTGAAACGCCCGGCTGCCGTTTTGGCTAAACAAACAGTTCTGCTGTCATTTTTATCAGAATCTGACTTACAAATCTATTTTAATTGATCAAAATATATCACAATGTAAAGATTAAATAAATGATTAACATCCATCCGTCCGTAACAAACGTGAATGAACAAAAATGAACATGAAATGAGTAGACATAACACCCATACATTTAAAACGACCTGATGCCGTTTTGGTCTGAACAAATTGTGATGCTGTCATATTTATCAAAAATCTGTCTGAAGTAGCTATCATACTTTGTCAGACAACTATCACAATATATCAAAAATTATCATAATCTTTTATAATTTCAAGATTATGTTAAACAAAAAATGTTCTATGCATCTGTCAACTAGTGTAGAGCATTTTTGCAAGTCAGACGATTATGGCCCCTCTGGCCACACCTACTACATTTACGAGTCTTTTTTCCCTCTCCTCTTGATGGAATTCGACGGTTTTTTGGACGTCCACTTTGTCTTCGATTCGAAAGGGGTGGTAACACCTTTGGCTGATTGGAGATTTCCCAGTCAGCCTCATTTGCCACTGGATATATACATTCAGCATATGCTTGTTTCCAACGCTAGCTGGTATAATAAGGTGAGCACAAATTTTAACAAGATATTCCTTTAAATTTTGCTACTGCAAGTGCATGTTTGCAAGGAAGCTTTTCCAAATCAAATTCCCTACAACTACAGGTTCTTGCCTCTAAGTTCACGATATGCATTTCATTCTCAACACCGA